ATATATATATATATATATATATATATATATATATATATATATATATATATATATGTATATATATTCTCTATTAACTTCTAAACCCTTTGACTAATTTGGATCAAATTTGACATAGTTACTCTCTAGAACTCTGCGAAAAATATAGGCCATATGAAAATCTGGACTCCCACTCCTTCCCCATGATTTACATCCCCATGCTCTTGACACTTTGTGATAGTTTAAGTTTAGATGTTCTAAATGTTCGGGCAACGTGTCAGGTAGTTTAAGTTAGTTTAAACTAGTTTAAACATATAAAAATAGATTTAATCGGAATCTTGTGGAAAAGTGGTAATATAAACAGAATCTATTTTCTTAAAAATCTAAATCTCAACAAAGGCAACATACAATACTCGTCGAAAGGACGCTGTATCTTTTGTAATACACAAAGGGAGAAACCACGTGATCGCGAAAACGCATCAGACCAAAAAAAAAAAAAAATGTAAAAAATCTCATAAAGCGGAGATTACAGAAAAGAAGTTGCTGCAAAGTGCGACCTGGAACACGCGACTGGAACATGCGAGAAACGCGAGTCACGAGGGATAAAAGTGCGTTCGCTCGGGGCGAGAAAAAGTATAAAGCCGGTACTGTCTGTATTATGCGCGCCTCAGAATTATTTTTTTCGTCTCATTGTTCCTGGTATATACGAAGCGTCATGAACCGAGCAAGGTGTTGCGCGCCCCCGTAGACGGATAATTAGTGACCTGCTCGTAGTGAAGGTGCTGCTCGAGTCAGTTCCAGCTCAGAAGGCCGAGCACAAAACTTTCTACGCACGAACGTGGAATTTGAACCGGCTATTCAGAATATATTCCAGACTTTGGACATCTCATATGTGCACGCAAAATCGATAGTTTGTATTTACGCGAAACGATAGGAGGTGAAGCACACTTTGCCGTTCTTATAGCTTGCCGTATTTTGAGCTCGCCAAAATTATCACAACTTCAATTCACTTGAATTTAAATCAAATTAAAATCTTCACCTCTTTATATTTCAGCATTTCTTTATTTTACGGCTTGTTGATCTTTTGTAAATTCTCGCATGAAATAAAGTGGTATGATGATGATTTCATAATTTAATCGACGTTTTACATTACGAAAAAATATACGTGAAAAACATTTGGTTGGAACTAAATCTCTGGCGAGATATAAATCAGAAAATTTTAATTGAAGTTGTTAAAGTGCTGAAATTCTGATGCAAAAATGTGTTTCGAAGTTGCGTACTGAAATTAATTTGAACGTAATTCTGGCAATTTCAATCGAAATTTCTGATTCGTACATGTCTCACTAGAAATTTCGTTAATCCAACTAAACTTTTTTTTCCATGTACGAAATTATGCATTCGTCTCAATCGTTACTAAAAGCAGTAAAAAGCGAGGTCTAAAAAGATATGAGTGAGGACTGAAAGGTTACTTAACATAGAAAAAAGTTCGATTAGATTAAATAAGTTTCCAGTAAAATATAAGCAAACCAGAATTTTCGCTTAAAGTTATCAGAATTGCAGTTCAAGTTAACAAGATTTCTGCATGAAAAAAATTATTTTTGTATTTGAAACTAAAATATCTGCTTCGGTTGGTACTAACGGTTTTTCAAGTTTCTTGTGTCAAGTAACATATATAAGTGAGAAAGCAAAACACATAATTGAACGGCAATTGAATTTTTTGTCCGCAATTACCAAACATTTGATTGAAATTTGATTGACCAAATTTTGATCTAACATATTTTGTTTCGACAACAAGATCCATTTTTCAAATTGAACAAAATTTTAGTCTCACATCAAACGGAATTTTATGGTTCGTTCATAATTCATGAGAAATTGTTTTGATCCAATCAAACTTTTATTTTTCGCGAAGCGCTCCGACGCCAAGGCTAAGAGAGAATGCTTAATAAAGTAATAACACTGTAATTTCCCCGTCCGCGTACATTATCGTCGCACTTACCGGGAACTTGCTGCTGTGAGTCTGCAAACTGGCCGCCTGTTGAGCCTGACTCGAACTCTGCTCCTCCCCGTACAAGGGTGGCATCCTGTATTCCGGTATTCCGGCGAAGGGCTGCCCAGCGCCTCGAACTTGCCCGTTCTCCACGACGTTGTTTCTTTCCGGGCCGGAAGTCGTCCGCGACGGCCGTTCGGCTACCGCCTGCTCCCGCTGCTCTTGCTGACCGTCCTGACTCTTCTGATTGTTCGGCACCGGCTTCGGCGGCGGCACTGGCTTGTAAGGCCCTTCTTCATCTACAACAGAGAAAACACGCGTCTTCAAAAGGCACGGCGATTTGCGTCGAGAGCAAAAAATTGCCGGCGCGGCAATTGTCGCGTGCGCGCGGCACTTTCGCGTGATCGCTTCGCAATCTTCTGAAATTTTCGCTTAGCCTCTCGCGGCGAGGCTTTCCTACACACAGGACGGTAATTAATGCTAATTTTCCGTGCGTGTGCTGCGCGTCTTTTCCGCGCGTTTGTCGCCCGTCAACGACGCACGGAATAAAATCGGCGGAGCGTGTGTGAGGGGGTGAAATAAATATTAATGTATTCGGCCGCCACACGACGCATCACGGAGTGCTGCGCGTCTGACACGAATATGTTAAACAACTTGTTCAAACTAAAGAGACACATCGGGTAAATTGCTATGCATTATGCATAGCTATTATACACTAAACTACGCCGAGGATGTCCCTTTCTGTTCGTAAGCAAGCTAAAGCTCTTCTTGACGAAGTAATTCATTAATCTCTGCTTCAGAAGTCGATGGTCGAATCATGAGAAAGTCGATATCAACGATGATTTTTCGAGTCGTTCGATTTGATAACGATCAGATTCTTTATTGACATACCAAGAAAGATCAATGCCTCATAGACGACAGATCCGTGTTGTATTTTACCAAAATCACATCAATATATAATCGATCTAGTTATTTATATACGGAAGAAACATTTAGTTGGATTAACTAGACTTCTGAAAATAAAATATGAAAATGAGCCAGAAAATTTCGATTAAAGTCATTAGAATTCCGTTCAAGTTATCCAAAAATCTTGTTAAATTCTGATAAGCTTAATTAGAGTTTCTGCTTCGTTCATATTCATATTCATCAGGAATTTGGTTAATCTAACCAAACTTTCTTTTCCGTACACTGGAAGAATTATTTTTGTATTTGGAAAATATTTGGTAAATATCATTTAGCACTACCACGTTTTATTTGTGTCCGTCAGAGAGTAAAAGGTTGTTCGTAATTTTTGGAGCGAGTTTATGAATTCCCTATCTTGCACTGAAAAATTCATTTAGTTGAGTTAACCAAAATTTAGTTAAAATAGGGTCGAACAAATGTTTTGGTTGTGAGGGCCAAAATTTCGTCCTTTCTACCAAGGATTTGATTCTCTGAAACTAAACCTGTTTCATTTTTGTTTCAAAAAATCAAACTTTGGTTCAAAGTACCAAATATTGGTTCTCACAACTAAAACATTTGTTGCACCTTATTTTAACCAAATTTTGGTTAACTCAACTGACTTTTTTAGTGTGTTCAATGAAAGAATTCGTTTTCCAGTGGGAAAACGCTCTGGTTGGGCAAGAAGGATGAGTTCACAAACTTATTCCAAAAATTACGGACAATCTTTTAGTCCCCGACTGCACGTGTACTAATACTTTGGTTACAGTTGCCAAACTGGTTGATCCCATTTTAACTAAATTTTAGCTCTATGTACCAAATTTTAGACAACGAAATCCTTTTTTCAATGTATGTATCTAAAAAATACGACATATAAGTGTTGACAGGGATTGTTGATGATATAGTCAGTATTATATTCAAGTCAAGTCGATATATTGATATGTCGACTCGATCAGAGATGTAATATAAGTTAGATAAGTCGTTGATATCTATTGTACATAATATCTTTCGGATATCGTAAAGTTTCAGAAATATCGAATCAATTTCCGCGTGATTTTAACTGGATTTCGACATCTCAATCTAATTTCTCATCGACGTCCGAATCAGGGGATGAAAGTTTCGCGCTCATAACGTTAATACGCGATCGTGTTCATTCGATGAGATATCAAAGTATGCGAATCCGCGACACTCTGAAACACAATTATTTAAGTCCTCGTTATTTTCTCAACCGTGATTCTTCAATCGCGATTCCTGCAATCGATTTAAATCGTCGCGTGTGAGGAATAATATTAATTCCTCCCTCTCGCTTCGCTCACTTAGATTTACTCACTTCGTAATCGCGCGTAATCTTTTCGATGCGATTCAAGCGGAACGACGCATGTATAATACCGTCGTTTATAAGCGCGTGGATATTGCATTATCAACGTCATATTATTATATTCTCACGACGTCCCGGCGATCCCGCGTTAATCCCGCGAGAAGGCACATCCGTGCAGCTAAATCGTGACCAGAGCCTCGTCGTGGCCGCGGGATAAGGATGTATAAGTTACGTCACGGACTGATCCGCGGACGGTGCCTCGATCATGTGCCGCGAGTCATAGTTGTCCATTAGCGAGTTAGCCCGTTAGCGTGTATACATACATATATATATATATATATATATATATATATATATTTATTTATATACTGTTCGTATATTGATATGCACCTTGGTTCTGATTCTGCCGTCTGAGACGATTCTCCTGCTTAACTTTGCGGACGGTGGTGGCCATCGCGTGTTGGCTGACCATTTCTGACGAATGCTTTCATAAATGCACTTCGGGGTTCCCCTGTTCTCGCCTTCTCGAGACGATCCCACGAACGAGTTATCAACGAGTGACGGGTTTCGCCTCTCCGATTCGACGTCGTTCTTAGACGATACGTCGCGCTCTTTCTCTCTCACCCATATATCTCTAGCGTCTGTCACAATATAATCGTTGCTCTATTATCCATCAGAACCGACTGGCGAATCGATAAAGAGAAAGAGAGAGAGAGAAAGAGAGGGAGGAAGAGACTGAGAGAGAAAGATAGAGACGGTGATCGCAGCGAGATACAGCTGAGCAGCTGAGATTCGAACAAGGACCACCCAAGAGGAGTATTGGCTTTTTTGCTCGGATTAAAACTCCTTTCGTTGCGCATCAGCGACGAATTGTTCCTTTTGCGCGGATAAAAAGACTCGCGTTCAGCGATGACAGATCGGCACGCTTGCTGTTGCCGATGCTGATGCTACTTCAAACACCGGGAGTACTCGGCGAAATTACAAAGCTCGTTAGTTCTGTGTTTGATTAAGACGGCGCTTTTTACGCCGTCGGTTTTGAGTCTCTCGTGCAGACGCTGGGTAGATCTCTTCTCGAGTCGACTCGCGGCTCATCTCGCATTTTCATCCCTTTTCTGTGATCAGCGCGGGAGCGACTCTCGCGCTAATTGCAGCCGAACGATCGGACGAGACAGCGCATCGAGGCAGTGCATGTTTCGTTGAAGCAACTTCGAGAGAAGAAATTGGGTTAATTAACGTTCCTCGCGACGTGGACTTCCGTTTCGCAGACGAGACCGTCTCGCGCGGCTCTTTTGTCTTTCATACTCGCATACGTCATCTTCCGTCTCGAGGCATCCTGTTGCGATCTCGTCACTTTCCCGCAAAAATGAAAACCGCCGTCTACTTTTCGCACGGTTACACGTGCGAGGGAAAACACGTCCGTGAAATCGACTGTGGAAATAACTTTCCACTTTCGTGCGGCGCGTTTCATTCGTCGAACGCGCTGACCAACCCGAACCCTCAGCGTATCCGCCTCGGCAAAAAGGTCCGTAAAGCGATGGAAAAGGGGAAAACGGCGTCGATCATTCCTCTCCGTTCAATTTTCCAGATGAAACTCCCAATAATTTATCGCGGATGCAATACGCGCCTCGGAATTTTTGCGCGAAGTGCCACCGAAATGCGAGTTAACGTGCGGTTTCTCCTCGCGAATTTATCTCCTTTCCGCTTCTTCTTATTCTCCTTCTTCTTCGTCCTCCACGCCGCGAGAAAACTTCTTCCTCGCCTTGGCTTAATGGCGAGTTTCCTTGCGCGTCTCTCGGCGGTTCTTGTAATATCCTCGATCCAATTTATTCAACCGCTGCCTTGATTACTCGACGATCCTATTTGCTGCTCCCCAAGACTTCCGCTGGTTCACAATAAAACGTACGTTTTATTCGCGACGATAATACAACCCAAAATGGATGTTTCTCTTGTGTTCTTCCCTTATTTTTTTTTTTTGTAATCTTCATTAAGTCACTTGTATATTTTCTTTCCGCTTGATCGGAAGTCACTTTCTCTTTGTACTCTGCCGTCGAAACGATTTCCCCAAATTCTCTCAGAATTCAGAATTCGCATGGCTTTCGCGCCAAGCAGACGAAGAGAGTCGATGAGTTTGTGAAGGAACCTTTGGCGAAATTCACAAGAAATTCACAAGAGAAATTCAATAAACTATTTACCGAAAAATTTATCTAGAAGTAATAATAAATTATTTTTTTTTTTATTTCAGTAGATACGTTCGCTCGTTTTACGTTCGCTCCAAAACCGATACGGAAACGTGCAATTTCTTATTTTTTATTCATCACATCTCATGGGATATTCTGATGGTCGAAGCAACCTGTCCACTCAAATCAACATCATCACTTCCAATTTAGAGAATCGTTGATAATCACAAAACTGTTAAATTAAGCGTCGTAACACACTCTCGAAATCCCGACTGCTTTCGTCACTCGTGCAACTTTCCACGGAGAACGCCGCACTTTCGCAGATCCTCTCGTCGGGAGCGCGAGAAATCGACGTGGGGCTTTCCACGCGAGCTGTTCGCGTGCGACTCGCGTTCGCGCGAATGCCGGTGCGGGCGCGCGCTGCTCGAACGAAGCGGATTTTCCTCGCGCGAGGAGAGTGAGCGACGTGCGGACGCGTAGCCACCTAAGAACGGCCGCGCCGGAGCAACTCAAACTTTCCATTGAGTGAACGTCTGGTTCCGCCGTTCTGACTTCACTTCCGGTATCGTCCCACCACGAGGAGTCATTATAGACGCTGGCAGCGGTGGGAGAGAGAGCGAGTGAGCGAGAGAGAGAGAGAGAGAGAGAGAGAGAGAGAGAGAGAGAGAGAGAGAGAGAGAGAGAGGAGAGCGGAGAGGGATGAACGACGACAACGGGGAGTGATTGCTGGAGCGGTTGAATGAGACGGTTGGAGAAGAAGAAGAGAGTAGAATAAGAAACATAGAGAGAGAAACGACGAGATAGAGAGAGGAGAAAAGGGGCAGAGAGGCGTAGAGAGGTCGCAGAAGGGACAAGACCAAGAGACGCGCACCCGGGATAATTTATTCCGCGCTCATACGCGGCCGGGCTCCGCGACGCGCGTCCGACGAATATCAAGCTGCTCGCTACCGCCAACGATCTCTCGATCGCCGATCGTTAGATCCGTAGCCTGGAGAAACGCATACGCTCACGTCCGCGACGAATTTTCGTTTTTCGTCTTCGTCGTGATGGATCGCTCGTTTGGATCTTCGTACGTACGAAATTCGCTCGTGTCGCCGTGCCGCATTTCGTGCTTCCCGAGGAAACAACTATGTTACGCGATCCCGTCGGTGATTGTGAATTACCCGCGTTGGAAGTAAGGATCTTGAATTGTCGAAACGAACATTCGATACAGTCGAACCATAATTCGGTTAGGATGGGATTAACCAAATGCTTGGCAGTAGCAGCCGAAGCATGCAATTACCGCTATGTGTGCTTTGCTTTCTCAATAATACTTGACACAGTAATCTCAATAATACTCGACAAGTAAAGAACATGGTTGATGTGCCGACTAAATCGTATTAAATAGTTTCGAATATAAAAATAATTTTTCAGGTCGCACTGAAAATAAATTTTTTAAATAAATTTTGTAATAGTTAACAAAAGACAATGCATTTGATTTCAATGCAAAGTTTGGTAATTAGTAATATATTATTGTGTATATTAATTAGTAATGTATGGCTGTATTCGGGGAGATGCTGTTTATCACTATGAGTGTCTAAGCTCTGTCCTTGTTACTTACTGAAAGTTGAACAAGAACAGGACGCGTTCCAAGCACCAAATAGCGTCTCTCCGAACGCAGCTTATGTATAGCGGCGAAATCATGTCAAAAGATGCGAGAAACAATGAAACAATGAATGAAACTATGAATGAACTGTTTAGTTGAGTCTTTGCTGATGTGACTAAACATCAGACGGGCATAACCCGTCTCTCGCGACGTTCGCTTTGGTGTAATGTCAAAGACTAATCGGCAGATCGCTCCATACTGTCGTGCTTAACCTAACAAAGGAAAATTCTGAAACACGATAATAAAGATTTGCCCATATTCGCGCTATCTTTGTGTTAAGCCGCGGATTTTTCGAACGACCCTCGTATACGCCACCATCGCGGCTGCTTCTCCGAGAGTAGTCTTCTGTATAAAATTCGACGAAATCTAAAGTTCCTTAATCGGATGCTTGGCTACGGTTTAAGGATTAATAAGAGTTTGCGAGAGAGATTCTCTTATAATTCCTTTCGCGAACTTAATAGCTTAACGAAGTTGCGGAGCGTAACGCGCAAGAAATTGCAGGAAGTTTGGTCACTTCCGGACATGTTTAATTCGGTTACAACTTGTTCCTAATCTCGACATGTAGAGAGTTTTCTTGAGTCTTCTCTTTATGAATTCGGAACTAAAATAAGAATTTTGATCGATAATTCGGGAACGATAGCCTAATTAAAACTTGTGGTTTTCGAAAATTGAAATGAGACAAACTCACAACTTGCGAATTCGACTTCTCTTTTTAATTTACCGTAAACCATAACTTGCGCTTATAAATGAGAACGTCGATATCGCGGAATTGATATTCTTGCTCGAAAAACTGAAAGAAAAAGTACCTAGGAAATAATAAATATTTATTCGATGACTACGGTAACATGCTTGCTTGTATCAATACAAAATATTTTTCGAATAAATATTTTTCCATAATATTCAATGATATTTCAATAATAATTTATTGGGAGTACAAATAAGTCTCCGCCGTTTGACAAAAGATGGTCCCACCAGTAAGTTATGGTTGAAATTGTCAGATGAAAAACGTCATATCGTAAGATTGGATATCTGGCAACACCATAACCTTGAAATATTAGCGATTTTATACCAGCATCACATAATTTTTTTCGTGCGAAAATGTCGAGTTTTGAGCCGAATAAGCGTCATTTGCGGGAACTTTTGATTTACTTCTTTAATTTGAAGAAATCTGCAACTGAGGCGCATTGATTGCTTGTAGAAGCATATGATGAGGCTGCTTTAAGTGAGAGAAGTTGTCGTGAGTGGTTTCAAAAGTTTAAGAACGGTGAGTTTGACGTCGAAGACAAAGAACGTAGCGGAAGGCCGAAAGTGTACGAAGACGCGAAATTGGAAGCATTATTGGAGGAAGATTCGTGCCAAACGCAAGAAGAACTTGCACTTACATTAGGAGTGACTCAACAAGCAATTTCACATCGTTTAAAATCGTTGGGAATGACTCAAAAGCAAGGAAATTGGATTCCATATGAACTGAAGCCGAGAAACGTTGAACGCCGATTTTGCACATGTGAAATGCTGCTTGCCAGGTATAAACGAAAGGGTTTTTTGCGTTCG